ATCATATAATTTTATAACAATTCTACTACACTATTTAACAATATTTCTTTTTTATTATATAATAAAATAATAATTAAATATTATATGGTGAACAACAATAAGTAAAACTGTTACTTTCTCTTATATCAAGGGATAAATTTATATGCTAAAATTAAATTTTTATTAGTATAAATGTTTTAGTGAGATAATATATTAATTATTTTACAAGCTAGCCTAACATGCTCATATTTAATGTTTTAAAAGATGTAGAAAAAAACTTATAATAACTCTATTGTTTTTTAGACTTAAACGTTGATTAAAAGAGGTAAAAATTCCTAATTTTTTAGACTTAAACGTTGATTAACACCATAGATTGAGAGTTTATATTTAGTAAAATTCATGATTGTAATAAAAAAAATTAATTTTTGCTATCTTTTAGAATATCTTTAAATTCATTATAAAAAAAAAAAAGAAAAAAAAACTACAATGAAAAAACCAAGTCAGCTATATATCGATTTGTTGTACTCCTCTAATCACATTCACAATTTGGCTATAAAATATTATTTTGTCAGTAGTCTTAATGTACAAGAGACTTTAAGACTCCACTTGAATATTATAAAATTTTTATTGAACTTCGTACAATTTCTTGCGTATTATAAACTTTTATTGAATATTGCATCTTATAATATAATATTCTCTAAATAAATATATCTCGCGGGTCACGTACTATATGTATTCCGTACATTTTTTTTATTTATATATATAATTATAAGTATGGATAAATAGCCTTAAAATTGTGCACGGGCTGTGTACTAGTACTCGTAAAAGGGCAATCGTATTTCTGATAGAAACTAACCATTTATGAAACGTGGCCCCAATAAATGCCGACATTTCCTGCAAATAAGTGAAAGTGATCTCTGACGCTGGTATTGCAAGGGCAATCTCGTCAATCTGAACATTAAAATTGTTGACAACTCAGTGTGGACAAATCATTTTTTTTTTGTGGGCACAGGCAATCAGTCAATCTGAAGTTGCAGAAGAATAAACCCCCCAATTGCGCCATTCTTATCTCCAATTTTTGCATAAAACTGTACAGTGAAGACGAAGACCTGAAGAACGCCATTTTGGTTAGAGCTTTTTTAATTTAGAGTTCAACCTCTTTTTGTTTCCTATTTCATTGCGATTTTTTGTTTAGTAGAAAACGAAAAAGAAGAGATAGGGATCAGTATGGCTATGGTGCCATACGATTCCGACCCCAAATCGGGTCCTAACACCTCCTCGCCGGCGTGGCAGGACATGTTCCGATCCGCCTCCGTACGAAAACCCGAGACCGCCCCATCCCCTCCTCGGAAGCTCCACGCGCCGCCGCCGCCCGATGCGGCTTCCCTCTCCGGCGATCCCCAGGTACGCCTCGCCCTCTACATAACCATGGCCCAAGCGGGCCTCGCCTTCGCGGCCTTCGTCCTCTACGGCGTTTACCGTCTTCTGGAGGACTTTCTGAGGCCCATCTTGTGGGCCGTCCTCTGCTCGATCCCCCTCAGAAGCGTTCAGCAATCCCTCTTTGGATTCTGGTCCGAGCCCCTCAAATTGGGCCTAACCGAGACAATCCTGGCCGTCCCCGTCGCCATATTCAGGGTTTTCATCGGGACCCTCGTCGAAATCAAGGACATGATCTTTAGGGTAACCCTCAGGAGAGAAAAACCCACTTCACCGAGAAAGAAAAAGTCTGGGTTCTACAAACTTCTGAGGTGGCTCGTCTCGTTCTGGCTTTTTGTGATGTCATACGAGAATTTGGGGGCTGTGGGTTCTCTCTCACTGCTTGCCTTCGGCTTCATGTTTACAAGCAACACAGTCGAGTCCACTATGACCAAGGTCTCCACCTTCAGGAGCAACAGCTTCCGGAGGCTTCCGCTTAGCGCGTTTTTCACTCGGGCCATACTGAAAAGGCTGAAAACATTGGTGGCCATTGGCTTGATAGTGGGTATGATCTTCGGGTCCTTAGCTGGCACCATCTTCTTCTCGTACAAAATCGGCATGGAAGGAAAAGACGCAGTCTTCGCCCTCAAATCCCACGTGCAGGAAAGCAATTACGCAGAGAAGATCGGCTTCAAACAGTGGATGGACGAAAACGACCTTCCTCTGACAGTCGATACGTACACCACCAAATTTTACGAGACGGTCTCTGATCAGATAGACCGTCTCGCGTTACAATACAACATGACCGAGCTCGTGAATGGTATCAAGCAATTCGTGATCGTGAGGACGCCCGGGAATTCGTCTTCAGAGCAGACTGCACTAATGAGCCCATCTCCTTATACGGATAAATTCCTCAGCTTGAAAAACAGAGTTCGAAAACGCGAATGGGGGCATATGTATTCAGAGGTGGACGCTATATTACGCGAGGCTGTGATTAGTCGTGAGGATCTTGTGCAGAAGGCAAAAGGGTTTGCTTCGCAGGGGATGAACGTGATGCAGGGCGTGATAATAAGCGGAAAATCTGTGGTGGGGGGAAGCGCGAAGCTCGTTTTCTTGATCGGGAGCTCGATTTTATCTGGTGCGGCTGGGATTTTCAATTTCGTGTCACAGTCTATGGTTTTCTTCTGGGTTCTGTACTACTTGATAACGTCCGAGTCTGGTGGGGTGACCGAGCAAGTGATGCATATGATCCCGATTTCTGGGCAGGCCAGGAAAAGGTGTGTGGAGGTGCTGGATAATGTGATTTCAGGGGTACTTTTGGCGACTTTCGAGATTGCTCTGTTTCAGGGTTGTATGACGTGGCTTCTTTTTAGATTGTTTTCGATACATTTTCTGTATGTGTCGACTTTGCTGTCGTTTGTGAGCTCGTTGTTGCCGCTTTTCCCGGCGTGGATATCGACTATACCGGCAGCTCTTCAGCTGGTGGTGGAGGGGCAGTATGTGCTGGCTGTTGGACTCACTGTTATTCATCTGATATTGATGGATTATGGGACGACTGAAATTCAGGAGGATGTCCCGGGCTACAATGCCTACCTCACGGGCCTCAGTATAATTGGCGGCATGACATTGTTCCCCTCTGCTTTGGAGGTAATCTGCTGCCCTCACTTGTCGCCTTAAATGAATTTTCAGTAATTTTTGCTCTTTCTAGTGGACAGACATATTTGTGTTATCTTCAGT